TTCTTCAAATTGGGCATGTATCGGACATCCGTCAGAACTCTGGTTGATCCATCTTGATTCTTCAATCGAATTGAAACTATCCCAACAGTTTTACAGGCATTGTCATTGCCCATATAAACAACTCCTGCATTTAGTTCCACTAAATCGGAGAACCACTCCCGATTATGGGACATATGATAGGTGCAGCCCGATCTAATATCCACTCATCGGAATGGAATGTTGTTGATGAAGCAACCAATGATATGTCAGAGTCATGTGCATCATGCTCTGCAACATATGCATCTGGAGCAGCTTTTCCTTTCTTCTTCAGCTTCGAACAATCTTTCTTCCAATGGTCTTTCTCATGACAAAAGGCACATTCATCTTTTCCCAGTCTGGACTTCGACTTTGATCTCCCTCTCCACTTTGGCTTTTGACTTTTCGAGCGACCTCTTGCCACCATGGCCTCCGCTGCTTCGTACTTGCTCTCCTTCTTGGTTTACTTCCTGAGCTCATAACTATACAAAGCAGCAGTTACATCTTTAAGGGTAACATTATCCTTATCATGAAGTAACGTTGTCTCAAGGTGTTCAAATTCATCTGGAAGAGATGACAACAACAACAAAGCCAAATCTTCATCTTTGAAGGTTTCATCCATGCCCAATAAGTCTTCCACTAGCTCATTGAACGCAGTGATGTGTTCATTCATACTGTTGTCTGATTGATAATCAAATCTGAACAATCTTTTCTTGTGAAGACGATTCTGAGAGCTTTTCTTCAGGAATTTTTCCTCCAAAGCTTTCCACATCTTACTTGAAGAAGTCTCGTTCTTGTAGCCATACTTCTGCTCCCTAGAAAGACAAGATCGAATCGTGCTGCACGCCAAACGATTGATTGTTCCCCATTCTTTCTCCTCCATACATTCGGGCTTTTCTTCCTCATTGGCGATGTCTAGACCTTGTTGGAATAAAGCGTCTAACAGCTCGCCTTGCCACATGCCAAAATGACCGGATCCATCGAACAACTCCACCGAGAAATTTGCATTTGACATCACCCTCCTCACCGGTCCAGATGAAGAGCTTGATGTCTCAACTGATCTATATTTTGGCATTTTAATTCTAACTAACAATATTCAATATCACGAACTGTATCTTTTCAGCAACGGAACCACCAGGATAAACTCAACCGAAGCTCTGATGCCAATTGTTGGGGAAAACGGGTTATTTCCCACACGAACGTATTTTTAAAATTGACCTAAAATGTCAAGATTAAAACCACCAAAGGTTGCACAGCGGATAAACCTGTCAAACTATTGAATATTGAAACACAATGGAAAAGAACCGAATAAAAAAAATAAAGGAGAGAACACACCAAATTTACGAGGTTCTACGAGAATATCGTCTACTCCTCGGGCACCACACCGGATGATAACTTCACTATATCGCCAATATTACAACAAATGGAATTCTTTGGAATTCCCAAAGTGGGAGAATGAAGAATACAAGAGGAAGAGAAAACTTGTTTTTGGGATGATTTCTAATAGAAATACTTAGGCCTATTTATAGTTGAGTTTCAAGAACAATATGTTCAAAGTTTGGCCACCTACCAAAGAATTTTCAATGTTTACAAGTTAGCCACCAAATATGAAATTCACATGTTCAAAGTTTGGCCACCAACCAAGATGAAATTTCCAATAAGTTGCCCACCAACCAAGATGAAATTTCCAACTTGTCAACTTAATTTCTAGACAAATCTAACAGTAATATCGATATGGGAGTCCGAGCAGTTTGATACAAACGATAACTTGTGATGGGAGCTTTTCCGATGTTGAGAAGGACATACTCCATGGCTGTACAGTTTCCGTAAATAGTCCATGCCCCTTCCGTCAGGACATCGCCATAATCTATTTCGTCTTCGAATTTGACTAGGTAGTAGTTATTCTCTAAGTCGACAAGTTGTAACTCCCCTCGGGATGCCATAGTGCGTGAATCCCGTCGAGTAGCGCTTTGTATCCTATTGGACGTCCAAGGAGCCGGACGATTACTGAGTTTCTCATGCTCCAGTCGATTTGTTTGTGGACTCTTTCTGAGAACTTGATCGTTGGTACCTCCCCAGTTTCGTCTACTATGCAGTCTTCATCCGTTACTATCACCTCATCCATGTCGAAACCTGGCTCTCGACTTCCATCTCTGTACGGAATCCTTGCAGCCATGGATGCATAGGATATTTTCCCATGTGTAGCCTTGTTCGATCCTGATCCCTGTATAGAATCTTGATTGGTTTCTTTCTCTTCTTCGGCATCCATATCGGTTGTTTCGGTCTACATGGTTAATGGATGTTTCATGCTTTTATCTTTTTTGATTTTCTTTGCCGCTTGTTGATCTTCTTTCAGTATAGGGGATCCTGGCCGTTCCAGTACAGGTGGATATTCCAGACTGGGAGTATCCTCTGGTGGCCTACCATTGATGCTGCTATAAGATATGATAATAAAGATATTTAGACTGGTTTTTACCTCTGACATGAGCCAAATGTAATAAGCAATCTTATCAAATCGCAAGAAGTAATTTGCATAAGTTTAACACTTGGATGCATGACAGCGACATAAACGTCATTAAAAAAAGAAAAAAAAATAGGCAAGACTTAATTAAATATTAAGTATATATTAGAGTTGCTCCTGTCAGAATTTTATAATATATATTCTACCCATATTAATTGCATCCTAAAGTCAAAGGAAACTCTTGCAAGTAATAAACTATTTATTATATAATACAAAAATAACGGCAACTTAAATGAAGATAATCAAATGATTATCCCGTAAATCTTTTAAATTGAATCAAACAAAACTCTAATATCTTTAATGATTTGTGAAAAGATAATTGCATTTAAATATTTTGAATAGATATAACATGAAAGATAAGTATAATTATGCCACTGGAAATGGATTAATTTTTTAATAACATTTATTTGAAGAGATAAAAAACAAAATATTCGTAATAGATATTGAATCTTTAACATAAGATAGATAGAAGGTGTCAATCAAAATTTTTTAACCAATTACTCTATAAGTTGTTGACTATTTAATGGGTTGAAAACTACATTCAAGGTACTCAATATGTTAAGGTATGTAGTACGCTCCATTCGTCTCATTATTTTTGTCTTAATTTGGCTATGTACATAGTTTTAGGAGATAAAATTGATCACATGTTAAGTTATATAAAATGAGAGAAATAATAAAATTATCATAAAAAATGATCGATAGATTTATCAAATTTATTTTGACAGATATAAAATAATGGGACGAACAAGATTAAAAAATTATAAGTGTTGTTTAATTTTCAAAAAGTATATTTTAAATGGAATAATTTTAAAATAAAAAAAATTTAAAAAAAAGGAGACAGATAGAGTATTTAAGAGCTATGGCTATATGTCTATGTGGGTCAAACTAAAGACTTGTAAAGAAAACAAAGGAACAAGTAACCGAGTAATTTTTCACTGGTTTGGTAACTAGCAAGAAATGTTCAAAATTATGACTTTTATTTCTTTAATGTCTCTCAAATTCTAATATAATAGTATGGTTTTAGTAAATTGAAACCGATGTTATTATCAATTGTTTTTATTAAATTTGAAATCATAACAATATTGTGATAAAACTAAGTGTAAACTACTTAAATGGACCATAAACTTTTATGATAATTATATCTTGGTCACTAAACTTTTTAAAACTTATAAGACATTTGATTAAATTTTAATTCAATTTCTTTATAATCATTGTCGTCAACTATCGTAAAGATATGAAGTGACACATTAAACTCTTTTTCTAAATTGGCAATCGAAACATTTATCGCCATCATTTCTTTCAAATCTCAAGCACAAAAGAAACTCTCTCACACCATCCAAACCCTATTTTCTTATTGTCAATTCATCAGAGTGATACTTCGATTAAATGAAGAGAATATCTTAATGGTGAGAATTTGATGTGAACTCACAAAAAATAGAGTGTGGTGTTCTTTGCACAATTTAGTCATAATCATCCTTTGGATAAAATTGGACGATTATTTAATGACTTAATTAATTCCAACAATAATCCATTTACTATACAATTTCAACTATCATTTATGATGTCAAAAATATCAAAATGTTTGGTCCCAAAATTTCGTTAGAAGTAAACGTAGACATGACATCATTATTGTCCTTTAAAATCTCATCCAAATTTCTTAGGAAGATATCATCAACTAGTTGGTCTACTGAGATGAGATACTAGATCCCTTAAGTAAGGTCAGATGTTCAAATTTTGACGTTTGTGAATCAAGCAAATTGGGTTGAGAGGATCACTCTCGCCTATGCAGTACCCGATCTAAATTAATCGATAAATAGATTGAATACCAGTGATTAATTCAAAAAAAATTCCTAGGAAGATTCAAAATCAAAGACATGCTACTTTTATCTTTCATGAAAACAAAAATATTAGTCATTTAAGGTTAGCCCACGTTTTATCTCCCTAAAACGATGCGCACTGATCCAGGAATCACCATGGCGGCTTACGGCTTTTCAATCACTTACCAATTATGACTAAACAAAAAGATATGCTTCCACTATTCTTCGATCAAATAATAAATCCTGCCGTTAGTCCCTATACTACAAGGAAGTTTTGGATTTAATCCTTTTACTTTTACAAGTTTGAAATTTCAATCATAATATAAATAGTAGTTATAAAACTTATTAAGTCAAGTTTTATTCTTATGAAGATTTAGTTTTTGGTCTCTAATAATCTAGTCATATATTCTTTGTACCATTCAGATCAAGACTAAAATTTAAAAATTATGTAAATTCAAATTAAGTAAATTAAAGTATAATGATTAAAATTTTAATTTATGAATATTAAAGAGACTAATAATAGAATTTGACAATAAAAAGAAATCAACCCACCAACGAGGTTCAAAGAAAGGGGAAAATCGTAGTTTTCCATATTTATGTATTGCTTGATAGAAGTTTCATTGGAATATGTTTTTGACCCTGTTTTATCACATAAAAACCATTTAGTTGCTCTGACCGCCATGAAAGCTTCATCTCTATGGCTCTAATTTCCAGTTGTTTCTCAAAACTCAACCCTTCAAGCCTCAACAGTTCAACCCCATATTTTACCATGTCATTTAAACGATTAGTTTATCATGAAATCTTTGGTTACCGGCTTGTTAGCCGGGCCAAATCGTCTCTAATCTCTATTGTCTTGTTTTCCCTTCTCCTGTTCTTCATGTTTACGTACACTATGGTTTCTAACGTGCCTCTGCAATCGGCTGCTTTCACGGAAAAAGAAGACTCTGATTTGATGCAGACGAGGAAAATGAATCCGGGTGTTCTTCCTATATCGTTGACTATTTCTACACAGAGGAATATGATTGTTGAAGTTGATAGTGATGATCGATTTCACGGAAGAATCCGGAGAAAACTCCCGGAATCCGATATTTTCCGGACAGATGAGTTGACGGAGAAGTTCCACGGTCGAGTCTTGGAGTTCTTTAACAACAAGTGCGAGCTTCAATTCTTCATGACATGGATTTCAACTGCAGAGTCTTTTGGTAGACGGGAAATATTAGCTGTGGATAGTGTTTTTAAAGCACATCCCAATGGCTGCTTGATGATTCTATCAAGAACAATGGACTCTCCCCAGGGTTACACTGTCCTTAAACCGCTAATCGATCTCGGCTTCAAGGTTCAAGCAGTGACACCGGACTTCCAGTTTTTGCTCGAGAACACGCCGGCCGAAACTTGGTTCGATAATATCCGGAGTGGAAAAAAGGACCCCGGCGTGATCCCATTGGCTCAAAATCTATCTAATTTAATGAGACTTGCGGTATTGTACAAGTACGGTGGCATTTACTTGGATACGGATTTCATAGTGGTGAATAGTTTCAAAGGGTTGAAGAACACGATCGGAGCACAAAGTGTTGACTCGACGACAAAGAACTGGACTAGATTGAACAACGCAGTGCTCGTTTTCGATATCGAACACCCCCTCCTATTCAAGTTCATTGAGGAATTTGCTTTAACCTTTGATGGTAACAAATGGGGACATAATGGACCCTATATGGTTTCCAGGGTAGTTCATAGAGTTGAAGGAAGACCTGGTTACAATTTCACCATCTTGCCACCTATGGCCTTTTATCCTGTCGATTGGATTAAAATAGTGAAACTGTTTAAGATGCCGAAAAACCAGGCCGAGTCGAAATCGGATGAGGCTAAGCTGCATCAGCTAAATGGGAAGAGTTATGGAGTTCATCTATGGAACAAGCAAAGTAGCAAGTTAATGGTTGAAGAGGGAAGCGTTATGGAAAGAATAATATCAGAGCATTGTGTTTTGTGTGAACAGGTATACGATTCTTGAAATGCATCAATGTAAAGCTTATTCAAACACATATACTGTAATTGCAATTTACCTGTAAATGGTTGCTTTTTGTTTGCATAAATGGGTGGGGTACAATTAGAACAATCTACCACAAATCATAATCCTAAGTCTTTTGATTCTCAATCTGAATGTAAATCCTGGCAGCTTCCTATATGACTTTTTCATGGTCAATCTATATTTAGTGTTTCTGATTTTGCTATTATTTGATTTTAAGGTTAGTTCCAAGAATTTACTTTGTACCCAACAGAAAATAGCCCAACTCCGATTATTCCTTGCCTGTCCTGGCCCAGTATAGATATTGGGTCAGTTCAAGCTGTCAGACACTTATTTCTACCATGAAATTAAAATCAAATGCCCCAAGGAGTAGGTAACGAGATTACCCATTTCCAAATCGAAACCTTAAAACCTTTCTGTTCTTGTACAGGTAGTCTAAGTCTTTGCAATTATACAAACATGGAAAACTAAAGTTTGATGTTTGAGTTTGAATCTCCTGACAGCAAAAAACAGAGTTCAAAGAACGTGCCCTAGAATCCTTAAGAGACTGATTCAACTCGACTCTAAGGATTAAAGTTGAATAAAATACTTGCCTATTGTGGCTAATTCCCTTTAATCGTAAAATGCCCTAACCTTATCCCGTAACAGAGGCGTATATAAGAAGTATTTGATTCTTGGTTTAGTTTGCAGATTTGTTGCTGCAACAAATGATGGCTGTGAATCTCACACGTTAATCGTTACTTCGTTTCAACGGTACAAATAAAGAACACAACAAATAAGCTTATTATAGTCAACTAGTGCGAACCAAATGACCTTAATGTTTAAAGGGATTATTGTTATCCTTAGAAGTCTCAGATTTGAACACGACAGCTGTAGAGGTGTTTGAGTGTTTATTATCAAATTGCTAAGAATTTGTAAATAGATATTACTTTATAATTACGTGTAGTGATAAAAAAATTATATGGTCAACTAGGGAAAACAAGATATTGTTTTGCTTTGAAGGAATCTTAAGATTTTGGATATTTAAGACCCATATATATATATTATATGGAATTTCAGTGCATTTATACAGATAGGAAGCTAGTAAAGATAGAATCCTAACTCCTGAACCTCTGGTTTTGCAATCAATATGAGCGTTAAGAGAGTGCAATAATTGCATGAAACAGAGAGTTAATGAAGTAAACATGCGGTAGATTTGGTCAGTACCAACAATATCTTATTGGAAACCAGATCTCCCACATGGTTTACAAATTGTATCAGTTTTTCTTTTCCCCTTGCCTAATCAATGAATAAAATGTTCTAATGGCTACCCGAAATCCGGTAAATGCCTAATCAATGCTTGTTTTGATACACTTTTGAGATAATATATACTATGTAGTATGTAGTATAAGGCCATAATCTTTGGTTTCTTTAAAAGCTTAGGTATCTACTCAGTATTCATGACTGAATTGATAATGATGTTTTACGACGTGCATGATATTTGGTTAAAATTCGTAATAATCTTCAACAAATTCCTATCTAATTAGCATCCCCAAGTATATTTGTTTTTAACTAATATAGGGACGAATTATATTTTCACCAGATGCTATAGCCTATTTACAAAATTGTAGTGTTTAATTGGTTAAAAGTGAGATAATTTTTTTTAATCACTATTTTATTTGATATGTTGTACTAAACATCGGAAAAATAATAATTTCAAAAATGACTCAACATAATATTTAAATTACATTTTAGTTAGAAAAATCGATAAAAATCATTTAAAAGTTAGTTTTTAGGTATTTTGTCTTTTTAAAATAATGCTTCTCATTGTTAGAATTTTCAAACAACCCCTTAAATCTCTTAAATCTACGAAAGTCCCAAGCCCCTAAAAATAGTACTAAATTTTTTGATTTAGTTTCGTCGATTTTGAGTGAGTTTAGTAGAAAATCAATCATATAAGAAGAAATATGAGTGAAATGTGAATGCTTAGTGACGAAATCAATACACTCCTAAAGTACATAAATTATTTTCTTCTATCATCCTCGAGCTTCAATCCTTTTCAAATAATACTTAAACCAAACAATCCAATCCAGTCCTATACCTTTAGAAATTAGGTTAGAATCGATAATGATGGATCTAAAAATTTAAAAAAATGAGATTTAATTTCCTTTTCTTTTTAAGAATGAGAATATAAATTTCTTTTTTTTCTCTTTTTCTTAATAAATTAAATTAAATTAAACTAAACTAAACTAAAATTTTAAAACATAAGAATTCAAAACATCTGCCCTGGGCATCGAATTGACTTTAGGGTGCGTTTGGTTCACGAATGTAAGATTACCGGTGGGAATGTAAGATTATCAGTGGGAATGTAAGATTACCAGGGAATAAATTACTGAGAATGTTGTATTTTGTTTGGTTGGTTTAGCATGAATGTAAGATTATCGTGTTTGGTTAAAGGAATAAAAGATTATTGGAATGTATATTTGACTAAATTGTCCTTATTATATATTTGTTTTTTAACAAGTTGGAAAATATTTATATATTTTCTTTAAAAAAATTAAATTCATAAAATTATATATATATATTTTTTTTTACAAATTAAAATATAAAAAGGTTTAATGAAAGGGTAAAATTTATTTTAACCCCTGAACTTCATATAAAATTTTAATTAGACTTTTTTTAAAATCTAAAATAGTTTAAGGATAAATTTGTAATTTAACCTTTGTAGAATTTTTATTATTCAATTACAAAGAAAGATATTTTTGAAGAAAAAAAAATTAAGAGCATTTTATAATCCAACAATACCTAAGGAATGAGATAATGACATTCCAGGTAATATCCAAAAAATCTACTATTGGTAATAAAACATATCGGGAATGAGATTCCCGGCCAACCAAACATGGAATGTATATTCCATTCCCATGAGAATCCACATTCCTTAAACCAATCAGCCCCTTAGGTTGATGGGAATTAATTCTGAAGATTTATTTTGAGAGTTTAATAAAAATGTGTTTTAAAATATTAAATTTTGTCATCTCCTTAATTATTTTCTTTGTTTATATGACTTTGATGTGATTAGGCATTAAACCATTAGAGACAACATAACATGAATTTGGCGTAGGGTAAGTTCACATGAGAAATTGAGGGAGGGAATATTTAGGAGTGAAGAGTGGCACGTGATTAACATACGAGTCAACGTGCAAGCCATGTGAATGTGGGGGCACATCCAATTTAATTTCAAAAGGACAGTCCAAATAAGAACAACATCTGAATTTATATTTGAAATGATTTGATTAAACAATTAAGTAGGTATAATTAAGCACACTCTTTTGATTTTGAAACTAGATGGGGATTAAAAAATATTAGGGGTAAAAAAAGGAGAAAATGCAAAATCTAGCACACATCACATGTAGGGGGAGATTTTGCAATCTCCCAATGTATGATACAAGAAACAGGGGAATCCAAATTACAGCTCAGTGGTGCACTGCACCTGCTGCTGGTGGAGCCTTGCACTGATAGCACTTTGCAAACAACCCGAATGTGTCGATTTGCCTGATGAAATTGGTCATGCTAGCCCATCCACCGAACCCGAATCCAATCACCAGAACCCACACCACGATCACCGCGTTTACCGCGTACATCGCGGTCCAGCTTGGCAAGAAGAATGGTGGCTTCTCTGCTGCACTCTGCATGTTTACAAAGTTAGGCAAACAAGTTAGTCGAAATTCGGCATTTGTTGATGGAAAAATGTGACCAACTGGATGGAAAAGAGTCAAGTCAGCCAGCTAATACAAGATAGGGTAATGTTTTTTTTTCCCAAATCCAAGCCTTAAATGCTTTTGTACATTTGCTGCAGTTTCCCCACATGAACCATTCAAGTGGGACAACAAGATGATGGCCTAAGTGATAAAAAAAATTAATAATTACCTGACGAGCAGAGGCTGTTCTGTAGGTGATCATATGGGCTAAAGCCGGGATGATGTAGACGGTGAAACTAACCAAAAGAGCACCGACGGCGGAGTTTATCGGCCCGAAGAATGGGAAGATTATGGCCAAGAACCAGATTGGAATCACCACAGGCAGCCTAGCCAGTGCCCTCAAACAAATGCTTTTGGTGTCATGCATCCCTATCACTTTCTCCCACACGAAGTACAATGGAGTACAAGCGAATCCGAATGTTATGAACTGCAAATACCAATCATTACACGTTCAAATCCAGTAATTGTGCTGGTTTAAAAGACGTATTAGCACTTCTAACAAGTAAAACGAACCTGGTGAATGAGCATTAGGATAACAGCAGCGTCACGGAAGGCGGTTTTGGGGAGGAGAGAGAAGGCATTGGAATGGTTGAGAAGCTGGTCCCCGAACGCCCAGTAGACGGCAGAAGCGGATGGAATGGTTAATGTAAAAACGTATAATGTGGCCAACAAGTATATGTATTTGAATTTTTGAGGCTTCCACATTGCATGCATGATTTCCCTGGAAAGAAGAGGTGAAAAGCAGATCAATTATATTCAATTACTAGCTTAATATTTACAATTGATGGAGAAATTATGCTAAACAGGTAAAAGACAAAGGATAGTAAACTAGATTAATGTTGAACATACGACTATTTAGCTGTTCAATTTCCCTAGAGAAATGGATAAAATGTTTGTTTCCGAGCAAACAAAAGTAATTTTGCATGATTTTTTTGTCTGGGACTCGAACCCCAAGATGACCGGCAAAAGCTGCAAAGAGAAGCCGCGTAGAAACAAGACAAGGGAAAAAAACAAATTGAAGGAAAAGTGAAATGAACATCTGCTAGTTTTCCAAGTTTCTGAAGGAAAAAGAAACGTAAAAAGCTTACACAGTCACGGCATGTCCGCCAAAGGTGTAGAGAATGTTGGTAGCTCCGGTGAAGTAGAGGACTAGCTTTGTTGGACCACTGTGTGTGACGCCCTCAGCCTGAGCAGCAAAAAGAAATTATGTAAAAGCATTGAAAACGGTTGTTGCATGGCCATTTCTTTACATTTTATTACCTACCTGGCCGTGAATAAGGGCAGCTATGGCCATGTACCAGGCCGTATAGGTAGTCATTCCAAGACCTATAAAAGACCAAATCCGGTAGTTGTGAAAGGAAGGTATGAAAACTGTGGTGGCACAGCAAGCTCCAAAAATATAGGTCCATGTCCTCTTGTCCAGTTTATCATTGATGTAGTAAATATTGCTATCATCATACAAAAAATAATGACATATTTAATGAACCCCAGTTTCAAATTCTTGTTAAGTATGATGTTTAAATAAAAAATAAGGATGGATCCGAAGCTCAAACCTTGCACAAGCAATGAGTTGTATGACAGATCCGAATAAGAGGAAAGTACAATTGAAAGCAAGTCCAGCTGCCTTCCAGTATGGTCCCAGCAACCCATCAAGTACTTCAAACCACTGTAATTAATGAAAACTTCTTAGTATAGTAGAACTAGCGGTGGTGATGTGCGGCGGGCGGTGGAGGAACAAACCTGGATGACATGGTTTTTGAAGCTGACATTCTCTTTCTCCTTCCGGCTTCTAAACTCTACATAGAGCACACTTATGAGATATGCAGTCCAACTTCCCATTAGCCCATAAAATACCTGAAGTAGAATCCCTGATAGCATGCCCAACTGAGAGAAGGAATAGGGCAGTGTCAACAGCACTTGCGCGACTTGATTTGAGGCGCAGCTGAACCAGGCATCCCAGGCGGAGCCGCCGTGCCATAGGATGCTCTTGATGCTGAACATTGATTGTTGTGACTCGTCTTCGTTTTCTTCTTCTCTGGTTTCATGGCCCGTCTCTTTGGACACTATTGCTTCTTCTGCTTGCTTCTGTGACAACATTGTTTTGTTTTGTTTTTTTCTTCTTCTGTGAAACATGTAAAAGACAAATTAAAAATCAAAACGTGAGCAACCCCAGGAAAACGAAAGTCAAATAATTCTCCAGATCCAAACACCCAGAATTTTCTTTTTAGAAAAACTGAAACTTCCATTTCCATAAAAAAACAACAAAAGAAAATAAAACGAAGCTCAACCTTGTTCGGAGACTTGTCTCTTTCGTGCAAAAGATTGGAGAAAATCAAGCAGAGAGAGAGAGCTTAAATGCCTAGAAAATCCTCTTCGTCTGCAGTAAAAGCTTCTTACTTTAATGCAGCCACCACTATTCTTCTGCTGAAATCATAAAATAAAGAACAACTCTGTCGCATCCAACGACGGCGAGACCTTAAAAGCAGGGGAAAAAGGAGGAAAAAAATTAAAAATCTCTCACCTCATATGCCCAACCAGCTACAATGGTCTTTGAAGTAGTTGAATTAAAGACTCTTTTCACTCCTATTTATATACTGTCACAGTAATGATACAGTTTCTTTTTTGAAAAAATTTCACCAGCTCAAACAGTAAGCAGCTAAAGATACTTATTTGTTCTTAATTATTAATTTTTTGGTGAGTGGAGGTTGAAAAGAAAAGTGTGAGAGTGACTAAACCCCGAAATTCCCTGTGTATTTATTTCACTTTTGATTCGATTCTTCTGGGTTTTGGTGGGTGAAAAAGAGAATTATTAAACATCTAAACGACTGAGACGTTGTTCTCATCGCAAATGGAAGAGAGTTTCAACCTAACCAAACACCTTTGCTTCTTTATACAAATACCCCTCTCCCTAACTTTACATCTCCTGTATTATATCAAATCAAATTTATAATTCGAGTTTAAACAATTACATTAATAAATTATATATATTATTAATTATTTAAAAATATTTGAATGGATAAAAAAATTTAATCACTCTAACTATTTAATTTTTTTTTATGATTCTGGGATTCATTTGCCTTTCCCATTAATGGTGACTCAGTTGCCAGCCTCCATGATCAGACCCAAATCTGAGTAAATAATTCTGGGGGATTCTTTTTTCTAATTCAGGGTTCATCGTGTATCCAGAAGGACCAGAACGAGGCTCAACCCAAATGGAAAGGAATCCATTCCTCCTCAAAAACCGTGAATTACACCAATTCAATGAATCAAAATCAAACCTTTAATCCAAATCTAATGTGGGAAATCAAATATTTCTATTTTCTAATGATTCTGACTAATTACGCAATCAGGAAACTATTTAATTCTGGTTGGTCAAGATTGTAATGTTTGGTTTCGGGATTAAAGAATTAGAACTTTTATTAAAATAAATTATTAATTATCTTTTAATAGGGCCGCTGCGGGATAGTCGGAAAGTGAAAAGCGGAGGCGGAGGTGGAGCCGCCACAAAGCGGCACGCTTTTAAAGGAAAACACATGTGCAATGAAATGAAACCCCCCACTTTGTGAACGGCTTATAGTGTAAACACGCCCTTTAATCGAACGGCTTCTTGTGGCCCGCCATTCCTTCGCTTTTTCCAATTTCAACCTTCCAAATTATTTATTCTACATTTTTTATTTACTTCTTATCAAAATAATATATTACAAGTACGAATGTATTTTAACATGGTAAACTATATTATTGATAAATTTCGTTTAAATTTTATATTATTTTTTTATTAAGTTTAAAAAATATAATATTTAGTCACTTTTAAAATATAGTTACTAAGAATTTACTACCGTTAGATTTTTAACTGATGTAATAAATATATAAAATTAAAAATGATAAACTACACAAATGATCACTAATATTTAAGTAAATTTTCGTTTTCCCTACTAAAATTTCAAAAATAACATATTAGACGAGACCATTTGTAGTATATGCCTAAGAATGATCTGAACCGATAATGAATACCATCGGCACAAAAGGAAGCAGTCGAAGCATTGCCATTACTAGGTTCTTTTCCTGCATAGGGAGATTGAAGTACTCAGGTACTTTCCTGCATGGTTACGCAGTACAAGAAAACAGCGGTAACGAAAATTCAAACAGATGTTAGAAAGTTAATTATGAAGATGATCTTCAATTGTGATGTCTCTGCAGGCCATGTGTTAATATAAGAATAAGATTTTCGACATCAAAATGTAGAACTCATTTTTTTGACAGGATCTGGTATTGAATTTCCTTATTCATCCAAAATATTTGCTAGAGCTTTAATCCCAGGAAAAAATAACAAGCAGGATACTGCTTTGTATATTGAGATCCAACTACATCTAAAATCTAAATAACAAATCCTACAGACAACTCCCTTGAGCCAAGCGTGAATAAAAATGAACTGATCACACAGTAAGCAGCCATGCACATGAAGATGCTAAAAGTAATGGTTCCTAAAATTTCTCGCAAGGGCCAAAATCAAGATCTATGCACCACAATATCAAAATCATGAGTCAATGGTTCAACTCATGCTTTACAGCAATAAATATTCTGCTTAACTAATGGGATCCCGTTAAAAGAGCAAGCAAGTTCAAAGAGAATAATAAAATCATCACATAAAGATTGCTAATAGTTTATCCAGGTCTAAGCATTCAAATGAACAAAGTGGTAAGTTTATTCCAACTAGAAATTATAAAGAAAAGAAACCCACCAAAAGATAGGTAGCCAAGTTTAAGAAAATGCCAACACTTAGTGACCAATTTGTCATTTTTAAACTTCAGTGAAAAAAATGAAACTTGCTTAAATATTAATGGCCATTTGTGTAGTTTATTTTTTATTTTATATATCAATTGTAACCTGTTAACAATGTTAAAAGTCTCACAATAGTTAATCCTGAGTAATTCATCTTAATTAAATAAAACAAAAATAATCAAATATTATTTTTTAATTCAATAAAAAATATTTAAATCTTAAAAATAATAATCAATCCTATAATTTACCCTTTTAATAATTAGTATAGGAAAAACATAAATTCCTCGTTACCATAGGAAGCTAGTCTAAAGGCATAAACTATTTAATGCTAGATGTCATATTGATTAATAGTCAAACTAAGTTTTCCATAAGGATATAATATAATATTAATTATATATCAAATCACAACGTTTCCGTTTTTCAGATGAATAAAGAATAATATTTTGGAGTATCAATAGTTAAAAAAAAGTATTATTTTCTTTGAATATATTAAGTTTAGAATCCTTTAAAAAATATTAAATTTGAGAAGTTGTATGTATATGCATTTTAAATAGTTAATAAAGATTATGCATGCACGAATCAACCCTACCTCAGTTGTAAATGAATTGTTATTATTCTTTGAGGTCTCATGTTTAAGCATCAAGAATATCAGAGGTGTGAGCGTTCAATCTCGAATGGTTGAGTTATAATCACTCCAGACTGTTAAAAAATATATTAAAAATTTAAAAATATGAAATTAAATCATCAATAAAAAATATTTAAATTATATAAATATTTTAAAATTTCAATGAATATCACTACATCCCAACATTCTTCCATTCATCTTGGATTCAGACTAAATGTGGAGTACTGCACCTGCTTGGCCGCTGACTGATCAATTCAATCGCGTTCCCGTTCACATCGATGATTGCATCAACGCCGAAACATGAGTGTGCGTGTGAGTTGCACTTCTTCATGCTGCATGCACGGGAATTCCTGTCGGAGAAAGTTGTGTCCATATCTTTGAGGGGATTTTATCCCAAATTCTCATAAAATATCATGAAAATCCCCCTGCAAACCCTAAATATAATAGTAAAAAGAAGAGTTTTACGGTTTCAACCAAGCTTTTACTACTACAACAATTATGTATATACTTTTATAACTTTCACTTGTTTTACGATTCATCGTACATAAATTGCAATCTATTATCTTGTTTTTATTTTAAATATATAATTTAAAGAAATTTAAATTTTTGTAATTTCATTTTTAATGAATTTTGTTATTACCCTTCTAATTCTAAGGTTTCGCCCTAACTAATTTGAATCGACTCGACTCACATACTTGGTTTTATAGATAAATCTCCTAACGGAGAATTTTTACATACATAAAGACTCAAATCAGACATATTTAAATTATATTAAATTATAATATAAAGTTTTTATTGCTCAATAGGCATGCCTATAAGTTTTTATGTACAAAGTTATGGCAAAAGTGGATGAAAATTTTCCGTTAAAAAAGGTTAAAGAAAGAATATGTGAAGTTAAACGTAAAATGCAATACACTTAATGAAGAGCAATAATGATCATGTGACATTAGGCAGTAACAGAGGCTTCATTGATTGGGAGACCGCCAACGCAGGCGGCGCCACCGGTTGTGTCAGAGCATGATTTTACCGATGCCAAGATTACAGCGACAGATAGCTGTTCGGAATTTCACCAATTCGAAGCAACATTGTTTAATCCAATTCTCATTCAGAAACCAAAAGTTGCAAAGTTCGAGCAAAATCATAATAAATTCTGACTTTTATGTATAATATCCCTCGGTTTCATAAACCTTTTATAATTACTTCACGTCCACTTGGTTTTATGCTTCAAAAAAAAAATCTGCCAAGTCTGATTAAATTAGAAATTCTATAATATAATTTGTTAAGGTAAGATTAAAAAATTGACATAAATAAGTTGTAATTGAAAATTTTATTAAAAATATAATTTTTCAGAATAAATTAATATTTTGATTATAACATAAAATATTACAATATTCATAATATTTTCGATTGTAAATTTTAAACCTCACGATATAACTTTTTGGTTACACGAAAATATTATAAATTTATATAATTTTTTATATTAAACATAATAGTATTATAGATCGAAACCGTCTTTTAAGTTAATCTTAAATTAGACTAATGTATAATAAAACTACATGTGGTAAAAAAATGTTTCATGATTCCGAATTTTGATGCTCAAATCTAGCTAAAGCTGTCATTTGATGACTAATTATTTCACTTGTCTGAGAAGCCGAAATTGTAGAAACAAAGATTGTTCATCATTTTATTTAATTGGTGAACATTTTTGGGTCATTGAAATTCTTCTTCTTTACAATGGTTTTTTTTTTCTTTTTCGAAATATCATTTTGTGTACAATCGGTCAAACGTCAATTATTAATATCATATTTTTGAAGTGTTCATATTTATTTGAATTATGAGATTTCATCTCATATAATTCATGAATGAATGCCAAAAATGTATTGTAATCACTTATGTCCTAATGGACTAAATGTTAAAAATGAAGTAGACCACAATTGCCTATTGGATGAGACAATTCATACGTCTACGAGTTGGTAAATTATATGTCATTTGAAATTGACTTAATATATGATTAACAAATAATATTTATCCCATATTAATTAAAAATAATAATTTGATTATATGATTAAAAAAATATGTTTTTGACT